AAAATACAAAAATTAGCCAGGCATGGTGGCACATGGCTGTAATCCCAGCTACTCAGGAGGTTGAGGCAGCAGAATGGCTTGAACCTGGGAGGTGTAGGTTGAAGTGAGCCGAGATCACACCATTGCCCTTCAATCTGGGCAACAAAGGCAAACCTCTATCTCAAAAAAATAATAATAAAAATAGAAACATGGTAGTGGCTCACGCCTGTAATCCCAGCATTTTGGGAGGCCAAGGCGGGCAGATCATGAGGTCAAGAGATCGAGATCCTTTTCGCCAACATGGTGAAACCCCGTCTCTACTAAAAATATGAAAGGTAGCTGGGCATGGTGGCGCGTGCCTGTAGCCCCAGCTACTTGGGAGGCTGAGGGAGAAGAATTGCTTGAACCCGGAAGGCAGAGTTTGCAGTGAGCCAAGATCACGCCACTGCACTCCAGCCTGCCAGCAGAGTGCGAGTCCGTCTCAAAAAAAAAAGAGAAATATATTCCTTGTGATAGGTGCTATAGCAGATTATATTGTAAAGGCTGTAGTAACACAACAGACTTTAAATTCTCTTGTGGCCAGGTGTGGTGTCTCATGCCTGTAATTCCAGCATGTTGGGAGGCCAAGACTGGAGGATTAGTAGGTCAAAAGTTTGAGACCAGCCTGGCCAGCATGGTTAAACCTTGTCTCCACTAAAAATACAAAAATTAGCCAGGTATGGTGGCATGCGCCTATAATCCTAGCTACTCAGGAAGTGGAGGCAGAATTGCTTGAACCCAGGAGGTGGAGGTTTCAGTGAGCCAAATTCACGCTGCTGTACTCCACGATGGGCAACAGGGCAACAGAGCAACAGAGCAAGACTCTGTCTCGGAAAAATAAAAAGAGAAATTCTGTTTTGAAGGTTATGATAGAACTGACTGAACAGAGAAGTGTCTGTGTATCTGCTGGCACTCACGGCCTATGGAGAAAACATCAGGTATTATACAGATTCAGTTGTAGCAGATTAACAAAGAGACTGCTAACCAGGCTTGGTGGCTCACGCTTACAATCCTAGCACTTTGGGAGGCCAAGGCAGGCGGATCACCTGAGGTTGGGAGTTTGAGACCGGCCTGATCAACATGGAGAAACCCTGTCTCTACTAAAAATACAAAATTGGCTGAGTGTGATGGCGCATGCCTGTAATCCCAGCTACTCCAGAGGCTGAGGCAGGAGAATTGCTTGAATTCAGGAGGCAGAGATTGCGGTGAGCCAAGATTGCACCATTGCACTCCAGCCTGGGCGATAAGATCAAAACTCTGTCTCAAGAAAAAAAAAAACAAAACTAAAACTAAAAACAAAGAGACTGCTTAGTTAAGTGAGTAGACTCTTTAGCTCATTCTTTGATCTAGTTGATTTTGGGAGGTTTGGTTTATGGGGACCCTGGGTAAGGGGTAGATTGCAAACTGTTGGTATTATCCCCCACAGAGTCATAGTAATAGTGTCCCCGGTGCACGGGATTCTCTCAAACGTTTTAAATGCTTGAATGCAGTCATCTCTGGAATGCCATATGGTCTCTCATCAACTGAAATGACAAGAGCTGAAGGAAATGTGTGACCATGAGGATGCTGTAACCTATGAATGATGTGCTGAGACCAGAAATGCAAAATGACGGTAACTGAGAGTGGCTCTAAGGCCCAAGTTTTGGTCACACTCTTGCTTAACTGACAGCCTGACCAAAAAGGCAAAATTTTCTTTTCTTTCTTTCTTTCTTTTTTTTTTTTTTTTTTTTTTAAAAGAATCTCAGTCTGTTGCCCAGGCTGGAGTGCAGTGGTATGATCTCAGCTCACTGCAACCTCAAGTGATTCTCCTGCCTCAACTTCCTGAGTAGCTGGGATTACAGATGCATGCCACCATACCCGGCTAATTTTTGTATTTTTAGTAGAGCAGGGTTTCACCATGTTGGCCAAGCTGGTCTCAAACTCCTGACCTCGTGATCCGCCCACCTCGACCTCCCAAAATGCTGGGATTACAGGCACGAGCCACTGTGCCCAGTGGGAATTTTCTTGAACAAAATTATGGGAGGTCATGTTTTTGAACTGAGCCCATGCACTAGGTCCCAACAGACCAAAACCAAACCAAAATGGATTCACTTGTGCTAAGAGTTAAAGGAAACACATGGATCCTAGAACAGACCACAGATGAGGATTTGTTTTTCTCTTGCAAATCTGTCTAACAAACATTCATGACAGCACAGATTCCACCCCCTGAAGTTCCCATTAAATCTCTTTTTTTTCTTTTTTATGAGACAGAGTCTCACTCTGTTGGCCAGGCTAGCATGCAGTGGCACGATCTCAGCTCACTGCAACCTCCACCTCCCGGGTTCAAGTGATTCTCCTGCCTCAGCCTCTCCAGCAGCTGAGACTACAGGCATATGCCACCACACACGGCTAATTTTTGTTTTTTTGGTTGAGACAGGGTTTCACCATGTTGGGCAGGCTGGTCTCGAACTCCTGACCTTGTGATCCACCTGCCTCAGTCTCCTAAAGTGCTGGGATTATATGTGTGAGCCACTGCGCCCAGCTTCCCATTAAATCTTTTAACCAAATTTATTTCCTCTTGCCTACAGACCATCAACCTTCAGATGATCATCCAACAAAGGTTCCAGCAAGTTCCAGGTGAAGACACCACCCCTGGCCATCAAGGAGTTACTCTGCCCTCCACTAAGAGCAGGGTGAGAGTTCTGTGATCACCAATAGGTAGGGACTATGTGCCAGGCCAGCATGAAGAAGTTACAGAGGAAAGACCATTGGTCCCTCCACCTCTCATAGAGATTTATGGGGATCACTATCTCTCAGGGGGGAAAGGAGGCAGGAGAATAGAGTCTGGAGGCAGAGAACCTAAGCCGATTCATGCTGACTTTCTAGAACCAAACCAAATGGAGACACTTCAGCTATGACAGGAAATATCCTTTCCATTTACATAGGACATACCCTTAGCAAATGACTTTGCAACTTTACTTCATCCTCTTCGTTTACATAGCACTTACACCAAGAAAACAATGGAAACCTCTAGAGGGTATTTAAAACCCAGAAAGTTCTGTAACCCGGCTCTTGAGCCCATATGCTCCAGCCACTCCCACCCTATGGAGTGGATTTTCACTGTCAATAAATCTCTGCTTTTGATTTTTCTTTTGTTGCTTTGTGCGTTTTATCCAATTCTTTGTTCAGAACACCAAGAACCTGGACACCTTCTACCGATAATACTTGGGCAAATCTTTTTGTTTGTTTCTTTGAGATGGAGTCTTGGTCTGTCACCTCGTCTGGAGCGCAGTGGTAGGACCTTGGCTCACTACAACCTTTGCCTCTCGGATTCAAGTGATTCTCCTCAGTCTCGCAAGTAGCTGGGACTACAGGTACAAGACAGTATTTCACCACGTTGTCCAGGCTGGTCTTGAATTCCTGACCTTGTGATCCACCCGCCTTGGCCTCCCAAAGTGCTGGGATTATAGGAGTGAGCCACTGTGACTGGCCCCCCTTTTTTTCGTATATATATATGTGTGTGTGTGTGTATATATATATATATTTATATTTATATATTTTGAGACAGAGTTTCCCTCTTATTGCCCAGACCGGAGCACGATCTTGGCTCACTGCAACCTCCTCCTCCTGGGTTCAAGTGATTCTCCTGCCTCAGCCTCCTAAATAGCTGGATTACAGGCATGCACAGCCATGCCCGGCTAATTTTATAGTTTTAGTAGAGACGGGGTTTCTCTATGTTGGTCAGATTGGTCTCAAACTCCCAACCTCAGATGATCCACCCACCTCGGCCTCCCAAAGTGCTAGGGTTACAGGCGTGAGCCATGGTGCCCAGCCTTTTTTTTTTTTTTTTTTGATGGAGTTTTCATTCTTGTTGCCCAGGCAAGAGTACAATGGGGCAATCTCTGCCTGACCGCAACCTCTGACTCCCAAGTTCAAGCAATTCTCCTGCATCAGTCTCCCAAGTAGCTAAAACTACAGGCATGCGCCACCACACCTGGCTAATTTTTTTGTATTTTTAGTAAAGACAGGGTTTCTCCATGTTGGTCAGGTTGGTCTTGAACCCCCGACCTCAAGTGATCCACCCACCTGCCTTGGCTTCCCAAAATGCTGGGATGACAGATGTAAGCCACGTTTATTCTGTGCCCAGTTTATTCCTGTTTTACAGATACTGTAGGTTCTCTGAGATTAACAGGAGATGATTAAGAATGGCCTACTAAAACTTGATTGGGATTACTGTTGGTAGGATTTATTAACTGATAGGCTTTATTTGATTCATCCGGGATCTCCTTTACTCTAGGGGATTTCCACTGCCAGAATGTGGAAGATTATTCTCCATTGACATTCAATTTCTCCACAGAACTCCAACTACCATTCTACGTCTAGTTTTGTTCCCAACCCGTCTCAGGCCAAGAGGATAGAATCTTAGCTGTCTGTGTTCTGTACCCACAAGGGGCATCCCATTTTTATGTATACATATACATGCAAATATGCATTTATATGATGATCATTAATTAACTGGGCATATTTGAAATGTCTTCATTTTTTTTTTTTTTTTTTTTTTTNTTTTTTTTTTGAGACGAAGTCTCTCTGAGTTGCCTAGGCTGGAATGCAGTGGCACGATCTCAGCTCACCAAAACCCTGGCCTCCCACGTTCAAGCAATTCTCCTGCCTCAGCCTACCGAGTTGCTGGGATTCCACAGCCATGCCACCAAACCCAGCTAATTTTTGTATTTTTAGTAGATACGGGGTTTCACCATGTTGGCCAGGCTCATCTCGAACTCCTGATCTCAGGTGATCCACCTGCCTCAGCCTCCCAAAGTGCTAGGATTACAGGCGTGAGTCACCACTTCCAGCTTAATTTTGTATTTTTAGTAGAGACGGAGTTTCTCCATGTTGGTCCGGCTGGTGTTGAACTCTCGACTTCACGTGTTCCGCCCGCCTCGGCCTCACCGCACTGGCCAAATAAAATGTTGAAGTAAATTCAGGACTACCCCTCCTCCAAGTCTTCTGCTCCTTTTGGGCGCCCAGGTGAGCGGGAGAGTGGCTGGGGGAATAACAACATCAAAGAAGCTCCTTTTGCTCCCTTACTCCGAGGAGACGTTCTGGTGCCTGACTCCTGGTCCTGTCCCCAGCGCCCTGGTGGCCTCTCGAGCCCCTTCAGTGACCAAGATGCAGAGATCAGGGCGCCTTTGCGCCGCCCCACGTGCCCGCCCCTAGCTGGCTCCGCCCGGCCCGGAGGAAAGGTGAGGTCGGGGGCAGGGCCGGGCGCGGCAGCCAGGATAAGGATTGGCCCGGCTTGGTGCCTCCCGTGGCCCGGTAGCGCGGTCCCACACCTGCCACCCTCCGATGGGGCAGCTACCTGTGTGCCTGCCAATCATGCTGTTCCTGCTGCTGCCGTCGCTGCTGCTGCTGCTGCTGCTGGGACCTGGCCCCAGTTTCAGCGAGGGTGAGTGAGGAAGGGGCTTTCCCTGCACTCCGGAGTTCCCGGGACTCCTCCTGCCCTCCCTAGGATCCCAGCAGCCCTGCCTCCCAGTCCTTCCCCAAGTTCCCAGGATCCCCACAGCCCCCAGATCGCTCTTTTTTTTTTTTTTTTTTGGGCGGGGGGTTTCGCCCTTGTTACCCAGGCTGGAGTGCAATGTCGCGATCTGGGCTCACCGCAACCTCCGCCTCCTGGGTTCAGGCAATTCTCCTGCCTCAGCCTCCTGAGTAGCTGGGATTACAGGCACGC